CATAAGTATATCCCATATAGTATTTGGAACGTACTTATACTAAAAATAAATGTTCACTGTTTATTTGAAACTGAAATTAATACAGGAATTATTATGAAATTATTTTAGACTGTTAGAGATGATAAAGAGTTCTTGGTGGAATTTTCCTTTAGTAAAAAGCAGCCCCCAAACCATTTCTTTTCTAACAGAAAGCAGCCTGAAAAGTCAATCTTCAAGCATAGATATGCAAGCTAGAAGCTAAAAGCTTGCATATGTAAGTGATAGCAGGTGTACCTGGAAGCCAGGTATATTCAATATGGCGACTCCTGCTCCCTTGTCTTTGTCACCACGTGTCCAGGTGTTATGGCACCAGCCAGGTAAAGCCACATATGCAGGTGTCATGGTGACAGCCAGGTAGAAGCTGCATTTGCTCAATACAAGATCAGGATGGGAGGGCCAGTCTTCCTCGGGCTATGTAAATGGCACCTGGTTAGACCAATCCTCCAGCTTTACGTAAATCAATCAGCCCCTCCTCAAGCCTCTGTATAAAACCAATCAAATCCCACCCCAAACCTGGAAACCCTTTTGGGTGACCCACTTTCTCAACATGAAGAAGCTTTCTCTCTTTCTTTCTTCTTTGTCTATTAAACTTTCCACTCCTAAACTCACTCCTCCTTTGTGTCTGTGGTCCTAAATGCTCCTGGCACGAGAAAACAAACCCCAGGTATTTACCCCAGACAATGGAGCCATTTCAAAATTTCATGGACATCTTGTATTTTATCTGGCAACTCTACAAGACTGTGAATTCACATCAGCTTTTCTCTGCTTGACATTCAAATTAATTCAAGCTAGCAATTAGTAGCACAAAAAGAGAAATTATACAAAATGTCTTTGAATTTTTGGTCCATTTAAACTCACCTGGAGCTATTTATAAACTATAGTTTCTGAGTATTCTGACACTGCCAGCATCAGGAGACAGGATGCCCACATTCTTCAGGTAATGGATCATGCAGATGCATCTAACACTCAACAAAATTATATTTATATTTGCTATGATCTGAATGTCTATGTCCCCTCAAACTCATATATTGAAATCCTCACCCCCAAGATGATGGTATTAGGCGGTGGAACCATTGGGGGGTGATTCAGTTTTGGAGATGGAGTCCTCAATAGTGGTATTCATGCTCATATAAAAGAGGCTCAAGGGATACGCCTTGTCCCTGCCAGCATGTGAGGACACAGCAAGAAGGTGCCACCTAGAGCCAGAAAGCGGTTCCTCCCCAGGTGTAGAATCTGCTTTGGTCTTGAGCTTCCCAGTATCCAGAACTATGGCAATGAATTTCTATTATAAGCTACTTAGTTTATGGTATTTTGTTATAAAGATCAAGTAGACTAAGGCAGTGTTATGATTTGAGTCTAAGTGGCTCACAACTATCTGGTTTCACAGTGAATATGAGTATTCACTGGTTATCTCTATCTGAAAACAAGGGTCAACTCTGTGATTTTTGTAATTATTTAAATCAGGCATATAACTATTCAGAGTCCCTCCCACCAGGCCCTCCCCTTTTTAGTTTTAAATATCTGATTTAGTCTTAACATAACCTACTTTTCTATTGTTACTCACTTTTTCATTTTCTGCAGTATCCTACTAATTTCAGACACCTTCCTGCTTTTTTCAGTGTAAGTGTTTTCCCCCAAACTCCTATATTGAAATCCTCACCCCTAAGTGATGGTATTAGGAGATGGGACTATTCCCACCGACAGGGTCTGGCTCTGTCACCCAGGCTGGAGTGCAGTGGTATGATCTTGGTTCACTGCAACCTCTGCCTCCCGGGTTCAAGTGATTCTACTGCCTCAGCCTCCCAAGTAGCTGGGACCCTGGGCATGTGCCCCCATACCCAGCTAATTTTTGTATTTTTAGTAGAGATAGGGTTTCACAATGTTTACCAGACTGGTCTCAAACTCTTGAGCCCAACCAATCTGCACAACTCGGCCTCCCAAAGTGCTGGGATTACAGGCGTGAGCAACCATGCCCAGCCCGGATCCCTTTTCTTATGTATAAAAACTATTAAAGATATCTGATTAGAAAAAAACACGATTGCAATTGTGTTGGATAGAACATGTGTGCTGCGGTGTAATTTTCCTAATGTGGCTTTCTTTGCTCTTATAGATGTAATGTTTTTATACTTTTCGATAGTTCAGAGTACCTATTATATTAGCACCATGTAATTGCCTTATAGTTTATATCCATTAACAAGTCCAAAAGAGAAATAAAAAAATTGAGTCTTTGTCATTTATTTATTTAGACAACAAATATTTACTTTGAGCCTGGTTGGAGATACAGTGGTGAATAGGAACAGCTAGTCTTTATTTGTGCCATCCTTTTCCCAGAGCTTTCCATGTCAGTCATTGAACCCTCACAATACTCTTATGCATGGATACTTCAGTAATCATCATATATTTTACAGATGAGGAATTAAAGCAAGGAGAGGTTGAATAACTTGCCCAAGGGCACTTTCCTAGAAAAATGTTAGCAGGACCCAGGCAATTTAGTGTTAAAGCCCATTTTCTTAAAATTCACAGCTTCTAGGTGAACAAAACAGGCATGGTCCTTACCCTTAGGTGCTATTTCCTTTAATAAAATAGGCTATGTGCAAAACCCAAGACTGATTAATGCAAGGTAAATATACCTACTGACTTTCAAAGCATGCAAATATATATTTGCAGTCACTGGTTTTTCATCTTATTATGGGGGAGTAAAATTTCAAAAATTACAGATGTTAGTAAAATATTCAGTAATTATGGTCTAGTTTAAAGTGCTTATGTTTACTATGTATATTTGTCAAATATAGGCAAACATCTAGAAAGTCATTAAAATACAAATCAATTTGAGCTTTATATGAAACTGTTCTTATTAATGTGACATCTATGTAGAAACATTTTGTAAGTACTTCTGAGTTAAAAGATTAATTTAGTAAACCATGACTTATTACCCATTCAGCCTATTTTCCATGCTAAGAATTCTTAGAATTCAGGTCTCCATTTCTCAGAAACCAATCAATCTTACTTACCCCAGAGTCATTGCACTAGTGGGCTAGATATCTCTCTTGATATATCGTGCACCATAACTATCTGGTTTATTTGTCTACATAGAATAATTTACTTCATCCCTTTCAGAATAACCATATTTTTCAAATTTCCTTGCACATTTTGTACAAAGACTTTTACAGGAGCTTTCCTGTTTTTTATTCATTGGAAGTATTTGAGTTTTCTTCCCCTCCACTTATTCTTTTGAAATAAAGTGTTCTCTATTTTATAATAAACCCAATATGGTTTTAAAATATTAATTCTCTACTTTCTGATTCCTCAATTCTGGCATGTTTTTTGTAGGAATGTATTCTATGTACCTAACCAAAATAAACATCAAGAAATCTAAATTTACCCATATTAAAATTCTCTCTCTCAAAACCACTGCCATCATAAATGATTTATTTATAGTATTACTTGAAAGAACAAGTTTCTCCTGGCTTATTTAAAATCTTGTCATAAACACACATACTTTAAGGAAGATGTTTATTTATTTATTTATTTTTGACATGGAGTTTTGCTCTTGTTGCCCAGGCTGGAGGGCAGTGGTGCGATCTCAGCTCATTGTAACCTCCACCTCCCAGGTTCAAGCAATTCTCCTGCCTCAGCCGTCTGAGTAGCTGGGATTACAGGGGCATACCACCACATCTGGCTACTTTTTGTATTTTTAGTAGAGAGGGGAGTTTCACCATGTTGGCCAGGCTAGTTTCAAACTCTTGAACTCAGGTGATCCACCTGCCTTGGCCTCTAAAGTGCTGGGATTACAAGTGTGAGCCACCACTACTGACCTACATGTTTATTTTTCGACCTCAATCCATCTGACCTAGGGAAAGTCAAACTTTCCAGTAATTCTAGACTTGCCCTGGTCGTCATTGTCATGCATAGGTGAGCAGTAATAAAGGTGATAGAGGGAGGAAGAGAAAACCAACCCAGAGGTGGGAAGGTTGATCTGACAACTTAAGCCGTTTTGGAAAACTGTTTTCTAGCAGCTGACAATGGTAAAACTATGTGATCCACTGGTTAGGGGCATGGGCTTCCCAGGCAGACAGCGCTGGCTTGTAATTCTGGCTGTTTTACTTCCCTGATCAGGGCTTTGGGCAAGTGCTTTAATCTCTATAAACTTGTGTTTTCATCTGTAAAATTGAAAGAATAGTACTGTAGTCCTCATAGGGCTGGTGTGAAATTTGTAAATAACAAATAATTTCTATTTACATAAGTATTTAAGACTTGTTATCATTCCAATTGACAATTTCATTCAAGTATTGCAGTTATTGAATACCACTGGCTGGCTCAACTGAACAGGAAAGAAAAGTTATTTTAATTGTATCTAGTAGGTTGATATCACCTAAACACATTATTCCTGTTTTCATAGGCTGCCTACAAAGCCATAATTTGGTGCCCCCCAAAATCCTTAAGTACAAACAGTATTTCTTTCAAGGAAGAAGTTAAAAGCAGATGATAAGAGCCTACATTCTCTAAACTCATTTCAAAATGTTTATTAGGAAAAGGTTTCTTTGCTTTCTTTTTCTTGAGACTTGCATTCAAAAGAAAAGACTAAATTTAGAGTATCAGCTACCTGCATGCCAAAAGTAAGTTGGAGTTCCATGGATCATTACTCTGCCAACTTGATCTTCAGACTCACCTAGAAACAATCTTAAACATCTTTATCTAAACCCAAACCCAAAGGCCATAAATCAACATATCTTGTGAGTGGGCAGATAAAAGGAACACTGACAACCTAAGGGTTATATATTTAGTTGTTGTCAGAATAATTACTTTAACTTTCTCTTTCCTGGCCAAAACTGAAGTGAATTTTATAGAGTTTTGGTTGGTTTGTTTATTAATTCTTAGCCTTTGGGATGGTTATATTTTTTTGACAGTGACTCTTCATAAACTTACATGGGATCTAAATTATCCCTTCTAATATATATATATTAATTACACAGAGAATTAGGTGATCTGCCTTGGGGTAACCTGCTGGGAATTTCTCCAGAGCTTCTGGTTCCCCTTGAATGGCTGCCTCCAACTTGTTTTGTTAGAACTCCCAGAATCATAGTGATGGCAGCTCTCTTAGAGTCCTCACATATTGAAAACCTGATGGGAACCAGTAAATCGTTCCCATAAGCACCTTCTTCAAATACGGCTGCTGTGTCTTCACTTGGTTTTACTTTGGCGGCCAGAAACTTTTTGGCTTCCTCAGCTGTGACAGATCTTCCAGAGGCTTCCTCTTTGGTGATCAGAGTAATTCCATCCTGAACAACAATTTCCCATAAATGATTTAATTGTTTAATTTCCACTTTCTCTCAAAGCGCTTACAGGAAGTTGTTAAAGCACTGCTCTTTTGAAACTTAATGGCTTCTTTCTGGAAGGCTCTGATGCAGTCCCTGCTCTTCGTAAAATATTGTGTTCCATTATTATCCAAAAACTGTTTGATGTGATTTATGAGCTGAACACTCGCTTCCTCAAAGCTGGCATTTTTCTGTTTCACTAGAACACGAAAGTTTTCAGTAGGATTCACACTTCCAGCAGAGGTGACACTGTCTTCAGCCAGGCTGGAGACGCTGAAGTGGGCTCCCTCTTCCTCAGTCATTAATTTTTTAGAGATGGGTCCATTTGTATGGTTGTCTTGGAAAATGTCCTGAATGGTTACTTGATCCTTTTTCTTGGCTTCCATCAGAGGGAAAAGGGTCTTTATTTTAGAGAGAGAAATTTGACATTTTGCTGTCACCTCAGTGGGAGGATTCAGCATATTCTAAATATGCTGCTGAGTTGGGGGTAGAGGCTCCTGGGGATGTAAAGCTTTGTGCAGCAGACACCGAAATAATCTGTGAAATAGAGGATTTGAGATTTGGGTGGTTGGAAACAAGTCTTCAAGAGTATCTGTCTTCCCATCTTTCTTTACCAAGCTCATGGAGTCAATAGAAGCATCAACAGCATTCAACTGTGCCTCGGTGGGAGCATATTTCTCACTGTTTTTCAAGGATGAAAACAGATATTGCAGCAAGTCTTCCATGAAAGGTGGCTGCACATACACTAAACACTCATGATTATGCTTGATGTGAGGAAAAGCCATGCCGACTTGAGGATTAGTTCTTTTGTCATAAGCATATCAAACTATGGCCACCACATCTAACTCATCCAAAGCATAAATCAGGGAGGAAAGTGCAACTGCTGCTGCCTCATCGTCTCTTGCTGCAAAGACCTTTAGAACTTGATTTCCCTTGAAGAATCTTCTCTAAACCTGAGAAGATTTACAAAATCTCAAAACAGAGAAGCACTTGCCTTCCAATTTATATTTCATTTGTTCCTCATCCACTTTAGAGAAAGGAGCTATATCACTTCCATAGAGGAACACTTGAATAATATCCTCTTTTAAAACTCCAGTTTCATCATCATCATTTAAGCAATAAACTGTTTCTTTTTGTATATCTTCTTTTTTTTTTAGGGTTTTTGCATCCACAACTGCCCAGGTCTTTTAAACTCTCTCACCCGTAGAATCAATTTATAGGATGCAATTCCTATAGACAAATTGGAGCCAATGGTCAGTCGGCAGGGCCAGTACCTTAGTCTCCGAAGCAGCTGGCACAGGTGCCCACCAGCATGCTCAGCTAGGTTTTTGTATTTTAGTAGAGAAGGGGTGTCATCATGTTGCCCAGGCTGGTCTTAAACTCCTAAGCTTAGGCAATCCACCCACCTCAGCCTCTCAAAGTGCTAGGATTTACAGGCATGAGCCACCATTCCCAGCCATGTTTTTCTGTTTGTTTATGTCATCTGTGATTTGTTTTTGAGCGGTATTTTGTAGTTATCATTGTAGAGATCTTTTTCCTTTCTACTTAGCTGTATTCTTCTGTATTTTATTTTATTTTATTTGTGGCAGTTGTTAATGGAATTGTGTTCCTGATTTGGTTCTCAGCTTGACTGTTGTTGGTGTATAGGAATGCCAGTGATTTTTGTACATTTATCTTGTATCCTGAAACTTCACTGATGTTATTTATCAGCTTAAGGAGTTTTGGAGCTGAGACATTGGGGTATTCTAGATACAGACTCATGTTGTCTGCAAACAAGGATAATCTGACTTCCTCTCTTTTTATTTGGATGCCCTTTATTTCTTTCTCTTGCCTGATTGCTCTGGCCAGGACTTCCAATACTATGTTGAATAGGATTGGTGGGAGAGGACATTCTTATCTTGTGCTGGAGGAATGCTTCTAGTTTTTGCCCATTCAGTATGAAGTTGGCTGTGAGTTTATAACAGGTGGCTCTTATTATTTTGAGGTATGGTCATTGAATACTTAGTTTATTTGAGAGTTTTTTTTTAAACGTGAAGAGTATTGAATTTTGTCAAAAGACTTTTCTGCATCTATTGAGATAATCATGTAGGTTTTGTGTGTGGACATATTTTGAGATCTATCAAGTTAGTTTATGTCAGTGAATCAAAGGCTCTTCTTACATATTTTATTTTACTTATTTTTGAATATCACACATTGTTTTGAATCTTCTCTTTGTTTAACAATATACCTTGGAGCTGTTTTTATATAAGAACACATGCCCCTCATAATTTTAATATCTGAATTTGCATTCCATTTTCCATTGTACAGTATTTTTCATAATTCTTAGTTATGAACAATAGAATTTCCTCTGGCTAGTTTAAACAAAAGATACATTTGTGAAAGTATATTGAATATTTCAAGAAATCTCTGTGACAATCAAGCTTCTGAAGCTCTGTAGCTAGGAACAACACTACTGAAAAGCTGCTAGGAATCCCTGTTCCTGGTAGGCCTTGCTGACTGGGGGACTTCATTACTGCCTGATCAAATGGAGGCCCCTGGATATCAATACGTTTTTTCTTTCTTGATTTGGTCATTTTCCTAGAGAGAAATTCTACAATCTTCTCTCTATAGATTGAAGATGTCTTTTGCCTCTCATCTCTGGAATCCATATGGAGGCTGGTGATGAGGGAAGTAGGTTTGAATCTCTCACTTTTGAAGATGTAGATTTCCACACTTACTTTCAGTTCAGTGTCTTACCACTGTTTTCATCTGTCTAAGGTCTCCAAGTCCATGGACTTCACGGTTCGAAGAAAATCAACCTGTCTTCTGCCAGAGTAAAGAATGGTACTAGCCTGGCTTCACAGGGTAGGCAAGAACATCTTGAATTCCTTATAATGATATCTGCTTCTCCTTCTTTCACAGACTCTCTGTTGGTTCTCCGGGATGTGAACCTGTGTCTGACATTTCACCTGCAGAAGGGCCTGGTGTTTTCAAACCTTTTTTTTGGTAAGGGTAAGAGATGGAGGTGCTCAACAGAAAAAAACAAAACAAAACCTTACTTTTTATTGGCTTTTCTTTCCTTGTAACATTTCAATTTCAGCTTTCTCTGATTGCTCTATTGGTTATTATTCACACATCTGCTTTCCAGCTTCCAAAATCGTGTAGATATTTCTTCTGCTCTCTTCTCATCTCTGCTTTCTTTCTCTGTTTTTCATCTCTCACTTTCCTAATTCTTCTGGCTTTACATATTTTTAATTCCCTTATTGTAGTTTTAGTGGTTGGTGGTATTGATAAACTTGGTATTAAATACACAATGTTTAAATGGAGATGCCTACTGTAGTATGACCTGTAATAATATTTATCAAAAAGATCTCCAGCCCTGCCCTTGTTTGTCAAGGAATATTATTGTCAGCATTCCCAAGTGTATCATATGAAGTTACTTAGCTAGTTCCTGAGGAAGCTAAGGTCACTGACTTCAGCATTCCAGGACTGCTAGCCAAGCTGTGCCTCATAATAGCTCACTTGAGTAGTCAGTAAGAATCCTGCCCCTAAAAGATGTCCTGGTTCTGAAGAAAATATGAAGGCAAGGGCTTTACTTCTTAAAGCTTGGTAAAGGGTCATAAATATTTCTTTCGTGGTGTTTTAGTTTGTCTCTTCTAGACCTTTTGTAAGTTATTTACTTTCTCAATACAGAGGTCATAATATTTCTCATTTTTGACAAAGAGATTTTGCCCAGAGGTTATGGATGAAATTAAATCTGGTGGTTGGGAAAGATGGAGACATTATGGATTTAGGGAAAAATGATTGAAAAATGTTTACTCAGAAGAGGAAGAAATCTAAAGGCAAAATGTAATAAAACAATTCATGCCAAACTAATTCACCTGATTAGTTTAGGTGACTAATTATGGAGTGAAATTCTTTCAGAATTCTATTTTGGCTATTATTGCATAATAAGGAAAATGGATAGGCCTTTGGAAAGCTGTTACAATGACTCCCTGGCTGACACTTAGTTCCAGTCTTTCTCAGTTCCTTAAAATGAACCTAATTTGATGAACTGGTTTGATAAGACCGATTTGTTTTTAAATAACCCAGTGGAGGGGGTGGAAGGAAATGAGTGGGTATACAGATTAAACAAAATTGGCCATGTGTTGATAATTATTGAAAGGGGCTTAACGGGTTCGTTCTGTTCTTTCTTCTTTTGTGTTTTTGAAACATTTCATAATAAAAGTTTGAAAAGAAAAGTCACTTTTGAAAATAGATTGTATAATTTAGAGCAGTTTTAGGTATACCACATAATTGAGCGGGAGGTACAGAGTTCCCACCCACACATGCACACCTTCCTCCGCTGTTAGCATCCTACACTCCACTGGGACATTTGTCACAACTGATAAACCCGCATTGGGTACATAATTATTGACCCAACTCAGTAGTTTAAATTAGCGTTCACTCTTGGAGCTGTTTGTTATTTGGATCATGAAAAATTAATAATGATAAGTATTCACCATTTAATATCATTTGCAACAGTTTCACTGCCCTTAAAATCCTTCTGCCTATTCATGCCTCCCTCCCCATGTCTTTTTCAGGATATAATATAGTTAGAACTGCAAATCACTTTTTAAAATTTCTACTCAAAGTTAAAATCAATATATTGCACATTACATTTATTTATGTCCAAATGAAAATAATGCAAATATAATGAAATTTAAAAATTTTAAACTTTTCTGCAAAAGGAACACGGGAACTATGTAAAAAAATCATCCCAGAGAGTGGTGCCTTCATCTCAGGAGTAAGTACAAAGCAAGCTCCTTTCTGTCTACTTGAATCTGCTTATCTTCTCTTTGTCTCCCAAGATGCCTCCTGATTTTCTTAGATTCCTTTAGATTGAAGACTTGCATTGGGCTTGTTTTTCTGTGTTGTCCTTAACCCTCTTCTTAAAGCCCCACTCCATGTGGGTGACCCAGGTAAGTTCTTTGTTCATCTGTCCCTGCAGTGAAATGAATATCAGGCTTAGAAATAAGCCAGCTCACCCATTTCCTAGCTAAGAAAAGACCCTGTTTGTTCTTTTCATGTTTGCAATGGTGGATAATATACAAAGAAGAAACTTCTTTTGAATGTTAACTCAAACTCCTTGTATAATTTAATCCCCACAACAGCCTTAACAAAGTAAGCTTTAATATTGTTTCTATTTTGTAGATAAGGACACTGAGGCAGCAGGTATTAAGTAAGTGGGTTAAGTTTGCCCTGCTGATAAGAGATACATGAACACTGGAATAGGAATGACAAAGGCATGCTCTCCTTTTGCTTCTGCTGCAAATCAGGTATGCTCATTCAAAAGGGAGTACTTCAAAAGGAGACACACCTAGGCTTCAGTGAAACTCTTTCTAGGGTATTGTTTTCAGTTAACTTTTCAACTAAATGAAATGTGTTAAAACAGTATAAAGCATATCTCTGTCTTTTTTCTTTCATTCTTATATCCCTGTCTTAGTCCATTTTGTATTGCCGTAACAGAATACCTAAGACTGGGTAATTTATAAAGAAAAATGGTTTATTTGGCTTATAGTTCTGGTGACTGGAAATCTAGGATTAGGCAGTTGCATCTTGTGAGAGTCTCAGGCTGCTTCCACTCATAACAGAGAGTGGAAGAAGTAGGCACGAACAAGGAAGTGACATACGATAAAGGAAGCAAGAGAACAAAACCAAGGAAGCCAGACTCTTTTTAATAACCACCTTCTCAGGAACCAATTCATTCTTGAGACAGAAGAGCTAACTCACTACTGAGCCATGCATCAAGCCATCCATGAGGGATTCACACCGTTACTCAAACACCTCCTGATTTGAGACCCTGAGCCAGATTTACCCAGCTAAACTGCACCTAAATTTTGGGATAATTTGTGAGGATTTTTTGTTTCGCTTTTCTGTGTTTCTGAGACAGGGTCTCACTCTCTTGCCCAGGTTGGAGTGCAGTAGCATGATCATAGCTCCCTCTTGGGCTCAAGCCATCCTCCAAGGCTTCCAAGTAAGTGGGACACAGGCACAAGCCACCAAACCTAGCTTACTTATTTATTGAGACAGAGCCTGGCTTTGTCACCCAGTCTGGAGTGCAGTGGGGTGATCTTGGCCCACTGTAACCTCTGCCTCCCAGGTTCAAGCCATCCTCTCACTTCAGC